GTGAACAGGCGCCCCCCCACGCACTGCCCTGTGGCTACTTTTCCAGGCTGGTCAGGACTAGCCCTGAGCTGGGCACCATGTCCAGGTGGCCTGAGCCTCAGCCTCTCCCTTCCTGGCAGTGTCAGGAGACAGCTGGCCCTCACTGTGGGCTCGCCTGGTATTTGGCCTCACCTGTGGTCACTGATTCCTGACGGTGGGCCCAGTGCCCTTTATGTCTGGAGATTCCTCCGTCCTGAGCTGACTTCGTTTCCCTCTGCGATGAGTAAGTGTTTGGCGGGGAAAGCTTTGTGCCCACCCGTGGTTCCTGAGTCAGTCATTACCACAGTCATTGCGGCGGCCCACCGTTTCTGTGAGGGAGGACTGCCCTTGATTGCTGACCTTGCTGTGGCTGCTAGGGCTTCTGCGGTACCCAGTGGAGCGTAGATGGTGCTAGACTCGATGTCTCGGCTGTCCCAGGTGCAGCCACTGGTCCATGTCCTCAGACACCCCATCCTCCTCCTCACATAATAGGCTCTGGACTCACTTGGAGCGCTTCCGCCCAGTCCTGGATCATTCCCGCCTCCGAGGGCCCTCGGTTCCTGTGTGGACCGTGCTGCAGAGGTTTCAGGACCGGAAACTGAGCGTCTGCTGCTGAGCAGCCCCAGCCTGGGTCCAGGCAGGCTGAGCTAGGAGGGGGCGGAGAGCCTCCAGATCCTGCAGTAATGGGGAGGCTCCTCCTGCCGCACCCTCAGTGTTTGCAGCTCCCTTTCCCGCAGCAAATGACCTGGTCCTGTTGTCCTCAGGCCCATCGCCTCTCCGGACCCTATCTCTGCGGGAGGAGGGAGCAGGTCTGTGACTGAGCAGGAGCAGCGGGCATAAAGATGTGGATGGGCCTGGCTGTCCAGGGGTGCCGCCATGAGCACAGCTGGTATGGGTTGAGGGTGGGATGCTTGGTGGGCAGAGAGGTCGGGGTACACTCCTGAGGTGAACCCAACTTGGGGTGTCATGTTTGAGGAGCAGCTGGGATGATTCGGCCTTGCGGGGTGGCAGTTGGTGTGTCTGGAGCTCGAAGAGTGCTCTGGGCTGCTCAGACCCTCCTTGGGAGCGGTGACTGTGTGCCGAAGGGCGGAGCGTGGTGTAGCCTGGTTTCCGTGTCCGTTGAATGACAAGTCTATGACTACGGTTTGTGCCCAGAAGACGGGGTGAGCGTTTGAGCAGTGAGGTAGAATAGCGCGCTCTGGGGTGCAATATATCGTTCTCCTGAGAAGTGACAGGATCTAGTTCAGAGCTGCGTAAGCACAGAAGGGTTTAAACCCAACTCTCCCTGCTCAGTGACATAGAGATCCAGCCTCCCTCTGTGCTCCCTCGTGGACAAGGAGAGTGTCTTGCAGGAGCTCCTTCAGCTGCCATGGCCTGGGGGCTGGGCTTGGTCTTGTGCCTGCTCGAGAGGTTGACATAGCCTGACACGGGCTCCTGCCCTGCCCCTCACCCACTGCAGAGTGAGAAGGGATGCTCTCAGCAGGATGGGAGCTGGAGGGGCAGGGTGGAGACCCACAGGGGATGGGCTCAGGAGAGATGATAGCAGAATCTGCCCTCATCCAGCCACAGTCTGAAGGACATACAGTTAATGCCCACCCCAGAAGGGAGTGACGTGAAAGGGCTTCCTTAGCACTTTGGTGCACACACGCATTTGGATTCTAAGCTGTGAGTACTGCACAGTGACACCCGTGTGATTCCTGATGGGACAGCACAGGGCTGGGTTCCCCTGGCCACCCCACTTCTCTCTGTCCTGGTCCCTTAGTTCTCCCCCCACCTCCCCTGCCACTGCTCTCCACTCTCCGTCCACAGGAACGGGTGCCCCCAGTAGCCTGCCCTCCATCCCAGGCTTCAGGCCCACCTGTGCCCCCTTCCTGCGGCTCTCTGCCTCTCTTCTGCTTTATGAACCTTCTCCTGTCTCCATCTCACCAGTCCTCAGAGCAGCAGGAGGGGAGAAGGTGTCAGGAGCATAGAAAAGCCAGTGCTCAGGGGGCTAAGTGTCTATTACAGGACAGTAGGGGAGCCACATAGTCTGGAGTCCATGTCACTCACCTGGACTGATTGTGGCTTTCTGTGGGGGGCTGACTTGACCATTAATGGTGTTCTGCAGATGGGAGGAGGGCTCAGAAGAAACCCGAAGCTCATCATACCTACAGGATGTAGGGCGTATGGGGCCAGAGATCATCCTCATCCTGCAGGGACTGTTGTCACTGAACCTTGAATAAAACACACTGGCGAATTTTAGATATTCATTAGTTAATACATCTTTTTCTCTTGCAGAAGCCAAAGATGTTGACCAGAAAGATTAAGTTGTGGGACATCAACGCCCACATCACCTGCCGCCTGTGCAGCGGGTACCTCATCGACGCGACCACGGTGACCGAGTGTCTGCACACATGTAAGTACCGGTCGTTCTTTACTATCTTTACTAAATCACTCCAGATTGCTCAGACACCTGGGGAGGTGCTGCCCAGTTCCTGTGCTCTTCAGAACTTTGGCTGTGGTTTCACCAAAAGCCTTTGGCTAAGCAAAGAACAGAGGACCAGGAGGACCCCAGGAGGGGGTGCTTTCTCTCCTTCTGTCTCTTTGTCTTTCTCCAGTGAGTGTACGCCCCCTCTAGCAAAATTAAAAAATAAGATCTTGAGAATAAATTGGAAAAAAATTGTTTCAGACTAAAAATACTGTGGGTGGAGCCAGCAAGTGACATAGTGGTTAAGTTGCTAGACTCCCACATGACTGATCACGGTTCGAACCCCAGATCTGGCGACTTGAAACTCACACCAGGCACGTGTGCTTCCATGCCCAAAATCCTGAGAAGAGAATGGAGGAGAAGGGATTGCAGCATGGCCATCTCCCCTGGGAGGTGATTTCCTGCTTTCTCTCTCTCTCTCTGTCTTTCTGGTGAGCTCATGTGCTATATAACAAAAATCTCTTCAAAAAATTAAAAAAAAAAATACTGTGGTTAATTTCAGTGGAGGTGAGTTATCATTTAGGAAAACTAAATACAGGGAAAATAAAATATTTGGGCTAGTCCTTGGCCTTGGCTGAATCTCACACAGCCGAAGGCACCGCTGAATCTCAAACCCAGTGACTTGAAAGAGGCACCAGGTATCTGCGCATGCATGCCTAAAATCCCTAGAGAATGGAGGAGAAGGGTTTAAGGTGTGGCCATGCCTCATTGGGGGTGACATTTGCCTTTTCTTTCTGTGTGTCACGCACCCTCTGGCAAAATTTGAAAAGAAAAGATTTGTCAGTTTTTACACAGTTTTTGTTTTGAAGTTAATTGTATTTTTATATACTGATAATTTTATAGCAACAAATCACCCCCTAGGGTGGATGGCCATGCCGCAATTCCTTCTCCTCCGTTCTCCTCTTGGGATTTTGGGCACTCACACACGCGCCCAGCTTGAGTTTTAAGCCACCAGGTCCAGGACTTGAACCACGGTTGACTACATGGGAGTCCAGTGATATAACCCTTATGCCATATGCTGAGCTCGACCTCACAATGTTCAATGTTTGATAATCATTCCCTCACTTTAAGTTTTTCTTCACATTTGATTCCTAAGCTCTAAGCTTGTGGAGTAGGACAGTTGATTAATCAGTTAAAACTTTGTATTGTTTGGTGAGACCTGGAAAGAATGTGTTTCCTCTTAGAACCAAGAACTACAAGGAAAATAGGAAAACTTCCACATGAAAGTCAGCCTAGAAACACCTAGGTTAGCCACTGTTAGTGTTCAACTGAGCACAAGGATATATGTCAGCATCCTTTTTTTTTTTAATTGTCAGAGGGTATGTGCACTCACAGAGACTCAAACCTTGTGATTGGTCATGTGGCATTCGGCCACCTGAATTACCAAGCCACAAACTGGCTCAAATGTGTTATTTTCCGAAAAGAGGTAGGGTAAAAGAGACAGCATGAGCAGTGGGGCATGGCCACACCACAGCCTCTTCTCCATCTCTGTCCAACCCTGTCAGGGTTTTAGGCACTCCTACACAGGCCTGCCATGTTTTTTATGCTGCTGGGGCTGGGGTGAAAACCTCATGATCTTTCACGTGGGATCTGGCTCCTTGAACTACTAGGCCATGGGTCTGGCCCTACATCACCATCTTTTTTTCTCCCCAAAGACTTATCTATTTAATTTGTCATTATTGGGACTAGCAGTTGGCCTAATGGCTATGTTGCTGGACTCCCAGGTAGTGAACCATTCGAGTCCCAGATCTGGTGGCTTAAACACAAGCCAGGTGCGTGTGCATGTGTGCCCAAGATCTTGAGAGGAGAATAGAGGAGAAGGGATTACGGTGCGGCCATCCCCCCTGGGGGGTGATTTCTCACTTTCTGTCTCTGTCTCTGTCTCTCTGGCGAGTGCACATGCCCTATAGCAAAAACCTCTTAAAAAAAAAAAAAAAGAGGAACCAGCAGTTGGCGTGATTTATCATTATTGTTTTTTTTTTTTTTCAATTTCTTATAGGACACATGCTCTCATGAAAGAGAGTGTAAGAAAGTAAACTGCCAGGTCTAGCATTTGAACTGTGGTTGGCCATGTGGGAGTCTAGCACCTTAACCACCCTGCCACCTGCTGGCCCCAGCTATATCATTATCTTAATTCTGGATTTTAACTTTGTTTTAGAGAGAGATTTTTGCAGTAGGATGTGTGCACAATCCAGAGAGAGAGAGAAAATGAGAAATCATCCCCTGGAGGGTTGGCCACACCACAGTCCCTTTTTCTGCATTCTCCTCTTGGGATTTTGGGCATGCGTGCACATGTGTCAGGCTTGAGTTTCAAGCCGTCAGATCTGGGGCTTGAATCACGGTCAGCCTTATGAGAGTTCAGCACCCTAACCACTATGCCTGGTTTTTGGTTTTTTTTTGTTTGTTTGTTTTTTTGGAGAGGTTTTTCGCTATAGGGCGTGTGCGCTCGCCAGACAGAGAGAGACAGAGAGACAGAAAGCGAGAAATCACCCCTCAGGAGGGATAGCCATGCCACAATCCCTTCTCCATTCTCCTCTCGGGATCTTGGGCATGCACGCACACGCGCCTGGCGAGAGTTTTAAGCCACCGGGTCCGGGACGCGAACCGCGGTCGACTACATGGGCGTCCAGCGACATAGACATTACGCTAACTGCTGGTTCCCCGGTTTTTAACTTTCTAACGTAAATATGCTTTTGATAACAGTCTGTCGGAGTTGCCTGGTGAAGTATTTGGAAGAGAATAACACCTGCCCCACCTGCAGGATTGTGATCCATCAGAGCCACCCGCTGCAGTACATCGGGTAAGTGCCACGCAGCCTAACTCAGCGTCTGTGTCCCTGTGAGTACAGGAAGTCAAGACTACAGTGGCCCCTCCTGGCCGAGGGTGCCCTGTGGCCACACACACCAGGAGGGGCCTTTGCTCTCCGTGCACTGGGCCACTTTGCCAGCCCAGAATCAAGCTGAGGATGCCAGGGCTGTGTCTCTGAATTTCCAGTAATTTAATTCAAATTAAATCGTTTAAGAAACTTCAAGGTCAAGCTAAATTTCACATATTTTACACTAGGTTGGCAGGAGTTAAATTTGACAGATGACTTTCAGACTTGTGGGGCTACTCTCAAGGAAATAAAATGCTATTCATCCCACATGGGGGGCAGTTTCCAGGTTAGCAAGTAGAAACTTCTGGTTCTCAGAAGCCCTTGCCTGCCCAGTGTTGGTCCAACCCGAAATGGCACAGTTGGTTTTGCTATTAATCCAGCTTTCTCCACGTGGGGCCAATGGGTGTGTTCCATGTGCCCTGCTCCTTAGACCCCATGATGTGTATCGCTGCAGCTCTTGGTGCCCTGTGACGGCTCTGCAGTCGAGTGGTGTCCTCAGGTATCCAACTTGCGGGTCTTGCGGGTTGGATGTTGTCTGGCACTCAGCTGGTGTGCTCTAAGGGCTAGATGTCCTGTGGTGTCCAGCCAGTGTGCCCTGCTGGGTGACATCCTGAGGCGTCCAGCTGGTGTGACCTCGATGATCTGCTGAGTTGTCCGGCTGGTGTGTCCTGCTAGGTGGATGCCTAAGGTGTGCCGTTCTTGTGCCCTGCTGGGTGGCATCCTGAAGTGTACAGTTATATGTCTTGCTGGACGGATATTCCAAGGTGTCCCACTCTTATGCCCTAGTGGGTGACATTCTGAGGTGTCCAGCGGTCGTATCCTCTGGATGCTATCTTGAGGTATGCACTGGTGCTCTCTCATGGGCGGACATCCTGAGTGTCCAGCTGGTACATCCCATTGGGTGACATCCTGAGTGTCTAGCTGGTGCATCTTGTGGGGTGGATGTCCTCTGGTGCCCAGCTGGCCCTCCCTGGGCAGTGCTGCTCGGAGCTCTCCTGGTGTTTCCCACATGCCCCTGTCTCTTCTCAGCTACTGTCAACTCCGAGTGACCAACTTGAGGGTGCTTCCGCCTGACCTCCTTCTCCCCTCCTGAGACCTCCTGAGCCGTATCAGGTTCCTGTGTTCTGTGTTCTGGCTGGTTATTGGCACTGCCAGAGTTATAGGTTGGCCAGTACATTGGCCTGGTCATCCGTGGACTCAGGCCTCTTGCACAGCATCAACTGACCGTTCTCGCGTCTCTTCTGTGGGATGACTGTTCATGTCTCACATCGCCTTTCTGCTGGCTCTTTGTTTTGCTTGGTCTCTTTGGAGAAATTTTTCAGGTGTTCTGGGTACTGTTTTTTGACAATGTGTGCGTACGTGCTTTCTGTCTTAAGGGTGCAGTTTTGCAGAGATTGGGGGAAGAGTCTGGTATGGGAAGGGCTAGGGTGGGGAGGGTATGGGGAGGGCTAGGGTGGGTGACATCCTGAGGTGGGAGGGTCTGCTCCCTGCTCTCCACAGTTCTGGGGTCTGGAGGCTCAGCTAAGACAGGGAAGGGGTGTCTTGGGGACCTATTGCTCTTTTGGCCATCTGAGACCCTGTGGTCACAGGCGTAGACTTCTGTGCTAACAGAGAGATAGAATGTAGAGAGAGTGGAACTGGCCAGGCATTGGGGACAGGTGCAGGAGGCCTTGGAGTCTGCAGATCAGGTCAGGAGGTCCTGGCCCTGCCTCCTGTCTCAGGGTGTTCTCTGCAGAGATGATGCATTGACAGGTGAGCAGGCCCACGGTAAGCAGAGATGGCAGAACT